AAGAAAATTTATTTTTATTAGAAAGAATACGAGCATTTCAATATCATGATTGTTCAAATGTTTGTCATGAAAAATGCCGACCAATAGCATCTTATAAACCAGAAAAACGAATTGGTGGATTATCTGATTCTTAAATTGTTGTTAATTTAACTCTTTTTGAAGCAGGCAGTGTCACCACAGGGAAGTTTTAAATCCTTCTCAGTGGTTTGTTTCTTTTTCATTACATCATTTCTAGATACTACAGATGTTATATTGAAGAAAGCAGATAAAATATTATTATTCTCACTTCACTGATAAGAAAATGTAGAAATAACAATCTTCTTCTTAAAAATTTTGATCTTGACTTAAATAATTAGACATAATATTACATTTTAGGTGTTTATAGTCATCATAGATTATCTCATTTATATTCATCGTCAAATGTGATCGGAAATAATTCTGGTTCACAACATCGAACTCATTTAGGTTATTTAAGGAAATACACTCATCTATTAAAACAATGAAAACAAAGATAGTTTGTATTTGATTCCCTACGACATGAAGTAATCATTCAATTTTCTTCTGTTTTGTATGCATCTATACGTGATATTCAATATCTAACCATACATGAAGAAAAGCAAATCTTCTCAGAACAAAAATGAGGTAAATTTATTTTGTTTAAAATCCTATAATACTGAAATGAATTAAAGTCTTCTAAATCACTCAGTTTATGATACACCTGATGCTCTTTTAAAACCTATTCAAAATATTGATCGATCAGCTCAAAGCCCAGACTTTAAATTAGCTGAAAATAAAAGAAGCTTTTGCTAATAGATCTGTCGTTACAAAATTCCGTGATGTTCTTGATGAAAAAATTGGTCAATCTCCAGCACAAGTTTCGCTATTGATAATTGCATGTTTTGAAGAAGATTATCATACAATTAAATATTTTACTTGATGTAAGTTTTTTATTTTATGTTAGTTAATATTGAAAAATCTTAAAACAAGACTGGTGCTGGTCCAAGTCAAACAGAAAGTGAACATAATTTAACACCAATTCATATTTACGTTGATAAGCGATATAAAGGAAAAACATTAACAGAACAGCAAAGAGCAGATCTTATACGATAAATGGCTAAAAATTGATCATTCAGAATGTTCAGATGTTTTAATTGAAGCTAATGTTGATCGAAATGTTTATCTATGGGTGAAAGAGCTCTTAGTATTGTTGCAAGACGAGATTGGAATAAAACTCAAAAAAAATGACTTAATTACTCACTAAAAAGAACTGTTTTTTCAAATAAAACTGGTGGATCTGTTTTATATTTTGCTACTACTGGTGTGATTTCATTCTTCTTTAATTATTTTTTAAATAGAAATATTTGATAGTTCAGTATGTGTTTAATTATTGTTAAAAATCGAATTAATTGTAAATGCTCAAGGTACATTTGAAAATACTTCAGCAATGGTTACTTTTTTTTCCAATAAACCAAATATTCGTAAAACACTTATTAAAGCAAAGGCTAATTTAACAATTAAAAGTAATGAAGAAAGAAAAATGCAGTTGCTCCTATTGATGAAAGAGGTGTTGATGAATGCAAAGCTGTTCTCCAAGAAAAATGAACAAATTTAACGTGTATTACACTTTTTTTTTCAAACACTTTTTGTAATTCCTTTTTTTTAGTATCAAGCTTTGTTTTAATAAACTAATATATTCACATTTATATCCTCAAAAATCAAACGATTGTTATTAATCAACTCATTTCATATACAAATTATTTGAATAAATATAAGCAATCAAGATAAAATACTTGTGATTTTTAAATAAAAATATTCTTTAAATGATTGTTTTATTTAACTCTATGGCTCAGCGTTCTATCAATTACATGCCTAGATAAAAGTCTTTTCTTCCTCTCTTTTCATACTGTTGTTCATCGCTTTAGTTTCAAGTAAATCTTAGTTTTCTACTGTTGGGTCTCTAAAACACTCGCCCTTAAGTCAAAGCTCGATTAATAATGCATGAACGATTAATCGGGTCTAGTCAAGCCCGAAACTCTTTTACAGTTGTCATATCCCAAAAATAATAGCCAAGTTATGAAGCATTCTGGGTGTGGATGCGGGTGCATATACGCTTTTCATCTGCATCCACACCCACACTCTCGATATTCAGTCATACTACTCTATTCTGTTCTCCGAACATCATTAATTACTTGAGTAGATTCTTTTACGAATTGAAACCATGAGCAAAACTGAAACATTCGAAAGTTTTAATTCTTTATGAAACCTATTGATATTTGCAGTATATTTAAAAACTAAATACAGAGACAAAATACGAAAAATAGTGTGATGGTTAAATAGGAGGATGATACTTTTGCATAACATTGATCAAATCTGCATAAACTAGTTTGCTGACGTTTAAAGCGACAATGAAATCTGCATGATTATAATCTGGAAGGTATTTTTGATAGACCAGGGACTCTATATTGTCAAAAATAAATTTCACATCAGTCGGATCTGCAAGCCAATCTTCACCACCTGAGAATATTGCTGTAGGTATTTTCATAGGATGAATAGGGTATAACGGCGGTGTCGTTTGATTGTAATGTTGTTGATTCTTATCTGGTGAACCATAATCATAAGCTTGAAAGACATTGGTTTGCACACCCTGTGCGAAATGGATCATATTCTTCACCGACGTTCCAGCAGGTAAATGTCCTGTATAGACTGGAATTCGTGTAACATTCAAATTTTTCTTGTCGGGACCAAAAAGAAGGAAGTAGATGTTTTCACACAGATCTCGATCGATGATTGGTTGATCACAGGCAATAACTTCCAGCCATTCTTGAATTTCGGACGCAGGAAGAAACTCATTACGCCCAAATAATATATGCCAAAATCTCTCCAAATCTTTCTCTACAGTTTGTGTTGCTAGATATTTAATCGGTGATTCGATATGGCCTAGATGTGCCACCGGTGCTAATGCTGCCCAGAAACTGACATTTTTTTGTAGAACACTATCTGGACGACCGAACTCAGCAAACCCGATCATTGTGCCTTGCGAATGACCGATATAACTTATTTGTGTTTGTTTTGTCACATTTAGAATGTAAAAAATCATGGATGGTAGATCAACACTTGCCATTTCATCCCAACTGAAGTCCCAAAACTCTTCATCATGATCAGGATTGTATTTGACATGAGCACGCGAATAGTGGTTGCCACGTATATTGCCCAACCACACATCGTATCCAGCGTCGGCGAGTAGGAAACCGAGACTTTGATCCGGAAAATTGACTACCCAAGTGGCAGCTGAATCGAGCAGGCCATGTTGAAGGAGAACGGGTCGGCCGACTGTTTGGGTTTGGCGACCATGTGGTATACGGAAAATAGTAAGGATGTATCCGTCTTCAGTGACAGTTTTGTGTTCCTCGCATGGATAGTCTTTAGTTATTATCAATTGACTGACATTGCGGTGCCAATCCGGATCAGGTTGCTGCGATTGTGACGTCTGTGGCAGCGTTCTTGACCAACACAAGGTCAGTGACAGTAGCAGAGACACAGTTCCTGGAATAAAACAAGAAAATACGATTCACTGTTGCTCAAGACAGTAATTTTGTGAACGTACTGACCTAGCATTTTTTCTGAACGTCGTTTTCGTCGCTATATTCACACATCAGACACGAAAAAGAGTGTTGTCGTTGGCTTTTATCCACCTTCAGATAAACGTATAATAGCAGCAGAGAGAAAAACAATATACGATAACGACAATCACACGTCCTTGCTTATCACTGAGGTATCCAACAACATAAAAATTTGCTTCATAGTCCTTTGTTATTCTGTAAAGCTTGAAACTCAATGTTTGTTGTTGTGTTACTTTCACATGACCTGAAATAGATGTCACTTGCAGTGACTTACTTCATCTTCGTTAGCTTTTTTTCTCCAAACATCGATATCCAGAGTATACTGCAGTACCGAACGAAAATTCAATGAGCAAAGACAGCATTTAGTCAGCATATTTTCTGTCTCGCATTATCAATGATTTCATGAACGTTTACTTGAATTTAAATCCAAAATGAATTTTGCAATATAGCGGTATACTCATTCCCTATATAAGAGCTCTGTCTCCAGGCTCAAGACACGGATTCACTGATCAAAAAGACGAACGAAGAGAAAGTTTCAAGTGGGATGTAAATAGAGGAGAGAGTAATGACAAGAAAAACATTGCACAGTAACAGCTACACTCAACAAGGAGTCATTTGAAAAAATTCTAATTAAATAATCCAAACAATAAAGAAGATAGAGACAAAATATTCATATTGGCCATTAGGTTTGGTGTTCCCGTTTATTATATGTATTAGATCATCTAACAGATAATAATGATACGTACCATCGTGAATTTCACTTAGGGATAAAGAGTCTTGTAATATTCCACTAAATGGTTTGCATATCTATCAAATAAATCTTTTTCTTTATTTCAGATGTCAATTCCAGTGAAATTTATTAGAAGATTAGACAAGTATATTGTATTTTTCTATAAATGAATCTTTATTTATAATTTAGTTTTTTGTTAATGTATTCAGTTCTTAATACAACATTTGTTATTCCATCTTCATCAATCAATGCCCCATTAGAAGGCATTTTTAAAGGATCATCACAAATGACAGGTTAATATTTTTTATTTAAAAGCTAAAAGTTAAATAATTATTATCTTCAAATGAATTATCTTGTCTTGTGTTTGACTTTTTATGTTATCATTAATTAATTCGTTTCCTATTAGATGAAGATTCGAGAAAAAGATGAATCATTACTTGAATCAATAATTGATATTTAACACATTAAAAAATTGCAAGTTCATGAATCTGAATCTGAACATGAACTAATACGTGATGATTGGATATCTACTTGTCGATCTTTAGGTTGCAGTATTTTAGTTGGTTCTTATTTTTACAAAAGTTCATTTATGGAATGATCAAGGAGAAACTATAACAAGTCTTCCAACATCTAAGAATCCTGTTAGATCTCGTGCTTTTATTTATTAAAGTTTCATAGAAAAATGGCTATTTATAAAAATATTTTTGTTTTCATTGTTGAAATCAAGATCAACATGAACCTCTGACTGGATGACATAACCAAACAATTCTGAAATAAAACTATTCAATTCTTGAATCGAAATAAGAAGTATTGAATGCTATTTAATGAAAGATTGTCGTTTTATAGTCAATATTCAGAATAAAAATCCTCATCAATTGGTCGAAGCTGCTCGAATTAATTACTTTTATGTCCAGGAAATGAAGCAATTAAATTGAAGAAGATAAATACATGTCACTTAATAGAAATTTTGCTTAATCATTTAAATTTAATCTAATAAAGTAAACACACTGAAATTTTTATTTTTAAGCATGTAAAACAAGTCACTACTCAAGTGAGTACTTCAGCTGGTAGTGGTTTATCGATTTGTGACTTATTCGATCAATTTCTTGTGGATTTGATATTCGTTGTTAAGAACTATGACTTTTTAAAAATAATTTTCTTTTAAATTTTCCTTATGACAGTAGAAATTAATCAAAGATTTCTACTTGAAATAGCTTCAAAGAGAATGAATTCTGTTTTTTTGAAAAGCATTTCTGCTGTAAATGCAACAATTTCTCGTTTTTGAAGGACGTTGTCCAGCCCTCGTCTGAATTCGAGTATTTGCGAGCAGAATTCACTCAAAGACTTGTTCCAACGCTGCTATTCTTCTTTCAAGTACAACTGGAGGCTGTGGGTGTGTGGGATGGGTGTAGGTCAAAAGAAGAACTACATTCAGACATCCACATCTCATACTCCCAAGTTATACAAAATGTGTTACCAGGTCAAAGGTGAAAGAGTAACGATAAAGATCAGTGGCTGACGATCGTCTCAAGCTTAAATCATAGAATTCTTCATACAACAATCCAATAAATGAATCCTCCGCTCTTCGAACACCAAAGAGTGAAAAGCATATCTCATGTACAGAGCTACAAAACAAAATATATGGTGCTGCAAGACCGAGATAGCAATATATCACATGAAACATGAACAATAGAGAGAGCATAACATGTCACCGAGAAAGAAAGACTGCATATCCAAGTATATGACTGTTAAAGGATAGTCTTTAAGAAAACAACAGTACAGTTTGTATGGGATCTGACTAGTATGATATATTGTTATCTTGGTCTTTCGGCTTCCTATAGTTTTTTCTGTAGCTGTGTACACAAGATATGCTTCTCACTTTTTGGTGTTTGAAGAGCGGAGGATTCATTTAGTGGATTGTTGTATGAAGAGTTCTATAGTTTGAGCTTGAACCGTCCATCAGCCACTGGTCTTTATCGTTACTCTTTCACCTTTGACCTAATAACACATTTTATATAACTTAAAAATTGAATATCTTTGTCCACACACACCATAAGCAGTTCATGTTTTAAATTGGTTAGCTTCTCGGTGAGAGTGATCATTTAATCCGAACATCGTCAACTTTTTTGCTCAACAGTACAAATCCTTCCATCGTTAGGTTGACCTATGATTGTATAGTTATACCGTTAGATTTCAATACGAAGACATGTCAAGAGAAAAATGCTATATTCGATCGATTAAAAAAATCGAATTTTGTGCACAATCTTGGCCACGATTGATGGTTCATACGTACACTTCAGAAACATTACCCTCCAAATTGGTGATGTTTGCAGTAGTAGCAATTCAAACTTCGATATCTGATGATATGAAAGCTAGGAATTTGTTTGAACAAGAATTGGTTTCTTCCAATGTACGGAATCAGAAAACTAGAATATGAACAGTTTTTAGTTTTTTTGACTTAAAAGTACGGAAAAACTGCTGTTTGATTCATTTCAAGTTGAAACTGGCGTCTATTCAAGTCGATTTTCAAGTATGGCGAGATGCTAGGATTATACTCACCATTTTGTATATCTGCTAATCTTGCTTCCACAATACTCTCACTTACCATAATCTCATGTCTTTTTTTCCGTCTCTTGCTTCTGTCCGTGTGAACTCTGCGAAAAAAGACAGTATCTACTTATTTATTCGTCTAATAAGTTCAATCTCTATTGTTTCACTACGACTACCGAGTGGGATTGAATACTAATCAAAGTAATTCGGAATAGGAAATTTATTCTAATCAGATCCTCTCCGTTCATGACAAGCACACACACCATTCGCTTAAAACGATACTCTCTTCTAAAATTCAACTTACGACTTGTCTCGCCGGTCAAGTTGTCGGCTCTATATTCGCTCTTCTCCAGGAAAAATTGCTGCATCAGCAATCATATTTGAAAAAGTCTGTATATCAAACTTTCAATGTCGCTATGACTTGTTTGATATCAAAGAAGTTGACGATATCTCTCGTCAAATACTAACGTGACAGCAAGGGTATCTATGAGCAGATTAGAATTGAGCGTGTCTTCAAACTCCTACTCGAACAATAGCTGAAATACAGCCTCTCGATGTCCATTATAAAAAGATAATGGAACGCCGTTCCGCGAAAATTGTATGGTAGACTGGTGCTCTAAGGTATCGATATTGCACTTGTTGATTCGAGTAACATACGATAATGGCAGTCATTGATTCACAATCAATTGTCTTCTTTCATCTTTGCTCCTATGTTGAGGGTATGCCTGATTCAATACCGATCTAAGCACAGTGGGGATAAGGATAAGGATGTTTCCACCTCTTTCTATTTAGTATTTACTCTCGTTTAATTACAGGCTTTGTATTTAGAAATGGAACAATTAACAATTTCTACAAAATGCCAGAAAAAAATAACGAATAATTGGTTTAGAGCCGTTCGCAGTACTTTGTTTTAGATTACATCTGCAAACAATATCAGTGAGATGTGTAGTTTCGAAGAAATGCATAGAATATTTGATTATTCAGGTTCATTGGCCATCGACCATGATTAAGCAAACCTGCCGTTTCTGAACAATTCATACACGTCGGCGTCGATGTCGGTGTAGGATTGGAATACCCGTTGATAGTGATAAATTTAGCAGTCAGCTGATTTTTATAGCGATTGTTCAA